GGCAACAGAAGATGGAACCCAGGAGGAGGAAAATAGGCTCAGTCTAGCAAAATGTACATATGACCATGAGCTGGGTTTGAGTCTAGACTGGCTTTGATTTTGTTTGCCAAAAGAAAAGTAAATTCAGCCTAGTCACCTCAACCAACCTTTTTTATAGGTTCGAATTGTGGTCTGTTTTTTGCCTGATTGCGTTTTTAAATATAGCCAGTGTAATGATTAATTCTGACCACTGCAAACACTCAAGGAGGGGGTGTTGCTGAATATTTGTTCAGAATATTTAAGCATTATCTCTCCAACTGTGTTGCAATGATTATGCAACTGGTTGCCAGGACATTGCTTTTAGTGCACATTTCTCTTCTGGTTTAGAAAGATAATATTATCTAATCCCTACCTGGAGTCTGGTGATATGTATATCTTTAGAAGTACAACTAGTACAACATACTATACTGTTCATCTCTAGAACTTCTGGAGTATAATGTGCTTTACAACTGACTTGCTCATTCTTACAACAAGCTTCAAATGTTCCCATGATATAGGCTTAGCAGTAAAGGCAAGCCTGTAGGCATGGAGTAATTCTGTAGTTCAGAATAAATTGATCCCATACCTAATAGCCTTATCTCTTAATTTAGTGGTGGATATCAGATCTGACATCAGTGAGATGACTGAATCTATTCCAGGTCTTAGGGTACATCTACACTGTAGAATCACCACAGTTTGAAACCATTTTAACTGCCATGTACTTTACTTACTTAGGCGATCCCTTGTTGTCCAAGTATGGCTTTCCAAGTGTGATGTCTTGGCGGTGGTTACGTAGGTGGCTGTGGAGCTCTATTTTTGACCCACGTGGTCTTCTACAGTGAGGGCATCAATTTCCAAGTGGAAGGCAGTCCCGTTCAGAGTTGTCTTGATGCGCCTCCTCTTGGCACGTTTCTCCCTTTTGCCCTCCATTAATCCCACTTCAAATTCCACAGCACTACTAGTCACAGCTGACCTCCAGTTAGAGCATTCAAGGACCAGGGCTTCATTATTCTCAGTGTCTATGCCACAGTTTTTAAGGCTTTAAACCCATCTTTAAATCTCTTTTCCTGTCCACCAACAATCCATTTTCTGTTCTTGAATTGGGAGTATAGTAACTGCTTTGGGAAACAGTGATCGGGCATTCGGACAATGTGGCCAGTCCAGCGGAGTTGATGGCATAGAAGCATTGCTTCAATTCTGGTGGTTCTTTTCTTCTCCCAGAACACTGACATTTGTCTGCCTGTCTTCCCAAGAGATTTGCAGGATTTTTCAGGATCCGTAGATTCACAAGGTTTATATAACCTTCTCTGCCAAAGAATGCTGATGCCTCACCAAACTGCAACTTCCACGATTCTATAGCATTGCGCAGTGGCAATTAATGTGGTGCCAAACTACATCAATTCCACAGTGTAGGTGCACTCTTAGTCCAAGATGTAGTAGAACTATCCAAGGTGCTGAAGTCAGGTTAAGTATCTTGAATGGTTCCATTAAAGCTCAAGCTAGAAACTGGAACAGATTTTTTGCCCCTTTGGCACCAGAGTCTCCAATCTACCACCGATTTTGCTTTTCTACTGTTCTCTTCTTTCTTGGTGAACCAGCCCATCTTGCTGTTATCTGTAACCTCATGAATATAGGTTACTGGTTCACCTATGTTCTTGTGAGAATCAGTGGTTTTTGATGTCAGTTTTTCCTATAGGATGTTGTGCAAATGAGTCATGTGGAAATAGCCTTAAAATTGTAAAGGGGGTTGGTTATCTGTATCTCTGAGTAAACATCTGTGCTCTTATCATACAATGTTAGTACAAAATGTAGAGGGTGAAAATCTCTGACAGTTTTCCATTTTCAGTATTTTCAGGAAATAAAGAGTGTGACAGCTAAATAAACTAGTAATTATTTAATAAGTGTGAGCTTCTGGGCTTGGATTTCTGCCACTATAAGTAACCTTGCAAAGTTTATAGGAGGTTGCCATCTAGTGGTATCAAAGTACAATACAACATGAAGTTTTAATTTTTTACATAATCCATATGCTGTAATGTGTTGTCGAAGGCTTTCATGGATGGAATCACTGAGTTGCTGTGAGTTTTCTGGGCTGTATGGCCATGTTCCAGAAGCATGCTGTCCTGACGTTTCATCCACATCTATGGCCAATTGCAACATTCACACTTGCCTGAAGCAAACAAGAGTTCTTTCTTCCACCCTGGACATTCCAGAGATATATAAATCTCATTTGCCTAGTTTCCAACAGACCTCACAATCTCAGAGGATGCCTGCCAGAGATGTGAGTGATACACCAGGAGAGAATGCTTTTGGAACATGTCCATACATCCTGGAAAACCCACAGCAACCCATATATTGTAATGTTTGTTCAATTCAGAACTTATCAAACTGTGAATCACAATGTGTTAGTGTGTCACTATGTCACGCAAATGTAACAAAAAAACCTCTGAATCTATGTGAAATAAAAAAATAAATTATATATCTTTAAATATATAAATGAAGAGTTTTCATGCAATATGTTGTGTTCCCAAACATTTTGTAACTATAATTTATCTACATGTTCGTATCTCTGGTTTAACCTCCAGCTTGCTAGTAAAACTGAATTACTGTATCACAAAATGATGCATGTCTAAACAAGGAATGATTAAGGAGTGTGTCACCTACATGAAATGTCTGGAAAGCTCTGGTTTGATCTGAATGACCCTGCAAATGATCCTTGTTGTAAAATCAGGGTTGAAAGTAAACACTTTAAAAATGTTAATAAATATTGATAGGGAAAAACAGTGAGAACCCTATGGTGCTTGGTATTTATAATTGTTAGGTTTTTAATTGTATATTTTATTGTAGAATTGGGGGGAATGTGAGTTTTAAAGGCCATTTTAGTGTATTTACCTGGGTTGTGCTTTTGGGGTAACTCTTGACCTATTTCACATTGCAGCTTTCGGTGGAGGCCCCAACTTATTTTTAGGAGCCTCCCGAAGTCGGGAGGACAGATATCTGTTTTTGCTCTGAGGTGCTGAAAGATCCATTTCCTATCAGCCCGTTATGAGAGGGGGGATTCCCAGGCTCCTCTTCGTGTCATTTTAGGCATTTAATCTGTTTTACTATAGAGGAGAGACACTCAGTTGCAGGCAAGTGCGTGCTTTAAGGAAGCTTATTATCTGTTTCTACTCTAGAGGAGAGGTGCTCGGCTGCAGGCAGACATGTGCTCTTTCTGGATCTGCATGCCACACACACACACACACACACACTCTTTCCAAGGCAAGGAAGCAAGTTCTCATTCTTACTCTAGAGGAGGCACTCAGGTGCACGCACTTTCTGGGCTTACACATCACACACACACACTTTCCAAGGCAAGGGGGCATGGAGCACCACATTCTCATGAAATGCAAGCAAGGAGCCAGGATCAACTTCCACTTGTTTTCATGTTGAGCTGATTTTCATATGGGATGGGGCCTTTCCGTTACGTGCTCCTGAAGGTAACGAAAGAACAGATGAAACTAAGGAAAACTGTTCCATGCACAACTCTAGTATTTACTATATTTTAATTTTGTTTTTACCACACTGTTACTATTTAAATGTTTTTAAACTTTTGTATTGCACCTTTTAAACTTGTCTAGTATGTTAGCTACCTTGAGTCCTCAAGGGGAGAAAGGTGGGGTATAAATAAAGACAACAACAACAACAACAACAACAACAACAACAACAACAACAAATGTTCTCTGACTAGAGTTCAAGCCAGTATAGCTAAGGGACAGGAAATGCTAGGAGTTGTGCTGTTTCCAAAGTAGAGGAGATCAATTGGTGAATGTACATCAACACTTATGTAAATTCCAGTAATTAAATGGATCTACTTTAGTTGGGATTAGCAGTTGGATTTAGCTAAAGGATTTCTCTACACCTGGCACTGTTCAGCATGTGAGTGCAATTGTGCACAGCTACAATTGCACCTACTGTGTGACTGGGGCTTATTTGAAAGTAAATGTGTGTAGAATTACTACCTTAGGCTGCTTAAATCTTACTCAATTCAATGGGAAGTGTAAAAGCATGGCAGGATTTACATATTTTTCTGCAACAAAAGAAAATGCCTGCATCTCACTTACTATACATTCTTTTTCCCCCTTCTATCTGCCAGTATTTTTAATAGAAGGAAATGCAATATGATGAACACTCAATAAAATCCACAGAAAAATCTGGAGACTCATCTCAAGGTGTTCAATAAGTAATAATAATAATAATATACTTTATTTATAGGGGACTCAGTGCAGATTACGACACACATATGCGGCAAACATTCAATGCTGATTATACAATTAACAAAGACAGACAATACATAAACAGAAGTAAAGGCTTCCCACCCTTTTCGATCTCTGGCATCTGAAGGCTGTTCTCAACTCCGGCCACGGGAGGGGACGGGGTTGCTGTTGCTCCATCTTTTATGCTAAGGAGCTTTGTTGTCTTTAGACTCACTCCTGATCAAATCGCCGGCATGTCCCCATGGACGCCTTTTATTACCTCCCTGTCCTTATTTATCTACTCACATTTCTGTTTTCGAACTGCTACGTGAGCAGAAGCTGGGCTAATGGTTGGGAACTCACCCCAATGCAGGCTTGAATTGTCAACCTTGAAATTGACAAGATTTTCTGCAGCTGGCGGTTTAACCCAGTGTTCTAAAAGCCTGGCTAAAGTGAATGATTCCTCAGTAAATAAATGATTTGTCAACAAACCATTAATTTATTGAGTGCCTTTAGATATGTATCCAGATTCCACTGTGTGTTTAAGCCAAACAGATTTAATAAATTCATGATTCTCAAATATGTGCCATCTGAGTTGAATGACTACAGAAGTGTTATTAAATATTTGTTTTCCATTTCAATATAAGGTTGATAGTGTTTGTTTGTTTTAAGTATGGGAAATGCTTTCGAATTCTTAATATTTCTTATTCTCAGATGTGTTATGGTTCCTTGTTTTCTGTTACTTTTCAGATCACTTCCTGGCACCACAGCAGCCGAATGTGCATCAAATTTGAAGAAGATCTACACAGTACAAACTGTACAGGTAAAAAAATAACACCAATTCATTAACATATTTCATTAATGCTTTAAACTGGAAGTGTTAATCAAGCTGGGTGGTGTGATGCTTTATCCTCATTTTAAAAATGTGTATTAGGGATTGCCTTATAAAACCTCATTCAGATATCTCAGTGCAGACTAAGTTTGAAATTTAGGCTTCTAGATTTTTTCTACGATACCATTATTATTATTATTATTATTATTATTATTTGATACACAACAAGATTAGTACACAACAAACAAGATCACTATGCTGGCTTTTGTATCCAATCACACATCAGACACTTACCAAGTGTCTAGAACTGTGTGATGTATCAGCAAATAATGTGTGCAGATCCAAGTAGGGTGGCCTTTTGTAACTGACAGATGGTAATTTTGTCAGCGCCGAAATGTGTGTGCCGATCACCACTGGGACCACCTTTACTGGCTTGTGCCAGAGTCTTTGCAATTATTATTATTATTATTATTATTATTATTATTATTAGTTTCCCAACTCTTCACATGGCTCGAAGTGGGGCACAATGCAGTTAAAAGACATCAGGGTAAAATACATACACTAAAACACACCACTACAAAATACATATATTAAAATACAAGGATTACAAGAATGTAAATTAAGCTACAAATTGAATATACTTTACCCTCGGAATTTTAGCTCCACATACAAAATGTTTATGGAGAAAATGTATTTCACTGTAGAAATATGGGTTCGTTGAAGAACTATGTCTTTGTCAGGCAGTCTAGAAATTCAGAATTTCATCTTCAGAGCAGAAAATTAATCTTTGGGAGTGAGCTTGTAATGATAGTCAATGATGTTAATTTTGTTAACATGGAAGATTCAGGTATTTGTTAATATCCTTAAATAAAATGGCCATGATTGTTTTGGAAACTTCAACAGACAGTAAACACTGAAGAACTCTGAACTGTGTCCAGGAACAAATCAATTATGTACATTACAGTATGATCCCAATATCCACAGGATTGGTATCCAGTTTCATTTTTCCATTTCTAACAAAATACGTCCTTTCTTTTAGGTTCTCCAACATGACTCTAATGATATTCTTGAGCAGGAAGTCCATCCTTTTATTAGGGTTCACTGTTATTTGTGGTTTTATGTATCCATGGGATGGTTGGGACAGTATCCCTCACAGATAACAATCATTCTGTATTGGTATATTTCCTTTCAGGTATGAATTAATAGTCTCCTTGTGGAGAGAAAAACATAATATGAATAATAGCCATGCAATATTTTTTTTTCTAGATCTTTTGGAGTGTTTATAATAATATTCCTCCTGTGACAAACCTGCCTCTGAGATGTAGCTATCATTTAATGCGTGGAGAAAGACGACCGCTGTGGTAATGTATATTCACAATTATTACTCCGGACATAGACTGTAATTCTTAAATCAGAAGAAATAAGTTATGGAAACAAAAGAGTGTTCGTTGAAGAGATTTTTTTAAGTACTGTGAAGTTTTTAAGATTGTGATTGATAAATTCGATATGTTGTGCTACAGTGAGCAGACTTTTTCATACCAAGCTAAAAATACTGTATCACAGTATGTTAGAAGTTCATGTGGTGCCATCTGCCCTTTGACTGGTGTGTAAATTTGGCAGAAAATGAGTCTTGCAAAATTGAATTGACTGAAGTAAAAATGTTTCCTAACCAATTGACCATGAGCAATTGCAACAAATGCTGTCGAAACAAGGCTATACTCCAGTTAAAACTGAACCAATTCTGTTTACTCAGATGGTGGCCTTGAAATAACATTTCTTTGGGGGGGGGGGGGAGTTGACCACTTTGATTCTGAGCTTTAGAAACATTTTTTTTTACTACAAGTTCCAAAATCCACCCAGTAGCATTCCACATTCCTGCTAAATTTCCTCTTTTACCAGGCTGTAAATGAAAGCTTATCCAAAGCGCCACAGTGATCTTATCCTAAAATGCCTTTGGATAATCAGTGCTACAAAAAGCCTGCTCTGAAATTACTTGCAACTTCCATTAGTGTATGGAATGAACAAGCCTTTTCTTTTTTCTTTGTATTTACTCCGGCGATCTTGACTCAAGCTGAAGAACTCTACAAGGCACTGAATTCCAGTATTTTGGCCACCAAAAATCCTGTACAGTCCTCCTCTGCCTTTCCAAAATTCTTCCTCATACTTCAGAACAGAAGATCTAAAATACTGTTTTTATTAGGTTGCAGTAAGTTTTCCAGGCTGTATGGCCATGTTCCAGAAGCATTCTCTCCTGAAGTTTCACCCACATCTATAGCAGATTGCCTGCCATAGATGTGGGCGAAATATCAGGAGAGAATGCTTCTGAAACATGTTCATACAGCCTGGAAAACTCACAGCAATCCAGTGATTCCGGCCATAAAAGCCTTCGACAACACAGTGCTTTTATTTTTCAGTCTTTAAACAGTTTTAGTCTCCTGTGAGGTACTCCCAGCATCAAATTGTTTCTTTGCATAATGCTTCCATAGGGGAATACTAGCCCTACAGTCACATAAATATGCCCATCTGTTTCCTTCTCAAATTAGGGAAGAAGAAAGCAATGCCAAAGGAGGTGTGTGGAAAATGAAAGTCCCCAAAGACAATACGGTACGTTGTGCTTGACAACATTATCACCAGGCCTTGTTCAATAACAATAAACAGCATCCTATCCACAAAGTACCTTAGGTACTTGGTGGATAGGGTGCTGTTTCTTTTTTGTTTTCAGATGACTCACTTCAAACTTCTAGTTCTGTGAGCTGTGAGACAGTGTGTGGTAGAAACAGAAAGAAATTAAGAAGGAAGGAAGGAGGAGAGGAGAGGGAGATGCTCAGTGCATTTAACTTTACATGCTCATGGGACAGTACCTCCTTTGCTTTTCTGTCCACTTACACACTCCTGCTTATTCCCAAGATCTGCTCAGAGCTATTCCTTTTTAATTCCTCAGGGCAGAATTTGGGGAAATGAATGTGGGCAAAGCAGTCTTGTTCTTCCAATAGATTAGTACCTCCCAGAGTTGCCTCGTGCTGTAGATTTGGCCATTTTGTGGGTTTCATTTTTATGGGTTTGATCAATCAATAATTTGATTACTATAACCTTTCTAGGAATCTCTAGGTCCTCCGATGTGAATCTTGCACCATAACAGTTGTGCTGAAATCAGAGCTTTCCAAACATTTCATGTTGGTGACGTACTTTTCACAACACAGTAATTTAGTTTTGCTAGATACCAGAAATTAAACCAAGCCCTTATAAGACATATGGACACATACATAAATTGTGATAACAAAATGCATGGGGATACAACATATTGCCCTTGGTGATGCAGTGGTTTAAACTGCTGAGCAGCTGAACTTGCTGACTGAAAGGTCGGCGGTCCGAATCCAGAAAGCAGGGTTAGCTCCCACTGTTCACCCCAGCTTCTGCCAACCTAGTACTTTGAAAATTTGCAAATATGAGATCAGTAGGTGCCGATCTGTTGGAAAGGTAATGGCATTCCATGCAATCATGCTGGCCCTATGACCTTGGAAACATCTACGCACAACGCCAGCTCTTTGGCTTAGAAATGGAGATGAACACCACCACCCCGTGTTGGACACAACTAGACTAAATGTCAGGGGAAACCATTACCTTTACAACATATCTCATAAACACCTGTCATTTATATTTTTTTAATGTATGATTTGTCAAATAACAACATACATTTCCAATATTTTTGTCATTTCTGAGTAACAATAGGTAAATAAGTACAAGAATTAAAACATTTCTACATTTGCTTAACAAATCTACACACTGCAGCTAGCACACTAACATGTTTTGACACACAGATAGCAAAGATCTAATCTAAAGATTTCTAGAAAGCATAGTTCTCCAGAGATTTGTAGGTCCTCAAGTGCGATTCTGTGTTCAACTTCTGACAGAAGTTGAGCATAGAGTTGTGCTTGAGAAGTTAATTTCCTAGAAAGATGTTCTTCCAGGTTAAAAAATAGTAGTGTGGTTTTGTTTGTTTTTTTGTTTTTTTGACGTGGTTTTTTCCACTTTGGTGGGGGTCCTGTGCCCCTAACCCTACCGAATGTGAAGGGCTATATATTTTAAGCCTGGGTTTCTCATTCCAGTTGCCATTTGATATGTTACAGCTTCAGTGGACAGATGCTTCAGCTGTGCTTCATAAAAAAGACAATTAGACTGTCCAGTATTAAAAAGCTCTAAAACCAGGAGCAACACTCAAAAAATAGAGGAATTCCAGACAAAAATTAATCAGTGCCAGCTAATACCCAACAAAGGATTTCCCAGACAGCAACCAGCCAGGCTTTGAAGCTGCAGGGCCATTAAATGCTAATCAAGGTGGCCAATGGCAACATCCACATTTGCCTCAAGCAGGCAAGAGTTCTTTCTCCCACCCTGGACATTTTTCCACAGATATAAACCCAACTAGCCTAGTTTTTAACAGACCTCACAACCTCTGAGGATGCCTACCATAGATGTGGGTGAAATGTCAGGAGAGAATGCTTCTGGAACATGGTCATACAGCCCAGAAAACTCACAGCAACCCAGTGATTCCGGCTGTGAAAACTTTCGCCAACACAGTGAAACTCTTACCTATTACCATTCTCCAGAAGTGCATATGCTTGGGCTTAAGCCTTTGCATCTTGAAGGGAAAAGGAGCTCCATATTTAATAGGCAGCCGCTGAGCCCATACTGCAAGGACACAGCAATAGATTGGCTCAGAAATAGTAAGAGCAGGTGTATTGAAGTGCTCCCCTAGTATCCATGGGCAACCAGGAATTACAAGAAGGCAACTGCATGAAATGGCATGTATTCATCAAGTAAGCAAGTTGGCAGAAGAGAGCAGGGAGTATTTCATGAAAACCAAGCATAAAAACACCTGCCCCCTTTCCTCCATATCCAGAAAAGAAATGCAGCTCTCTGTAGGCAGGTATTTTTTCCAGTGGCATTGGTGTACTATTTACCAGGCTGCCCAATACGATTTGTTTTTCTAGCAGATAGAAGACTTGAGTCTTGAACAGAATGGATTTGGACATCATCTATATCAATAAAAATGTAATGCTCATATGTGGGATTAACATAAGTCAAAAACCACTCGATGAATTGACACCAAATTTAGACACAATTAACCTATCAGGCCAACAAGTGACCATCACTCATTAAAACACTGAAAAACACAGCAGAAGAGACTTAAAAAGCCAAAAAAATAAATAAATTACATTACAACATATGCACATAACCACATAAATACACATATACACAAATATATATACACACAAAAAAACACATATACACAGACTGGACCACAGCAATGCGTGGCAGGGGACGGCTAGTACTAAATAAATCTGTTTTGTCTCTGAAGTGCAGCTATGTAAGGATTGGTAAATGTGTATAAGCAGAATAAGTACAAGCGTTACCACAGTATTTAAAACAAGGTATATACTGCTGTACAATAAAATCTCACCAAGGCTTGTAAAACAAGTAGCAGTATCTTTACTTTAGTTCAATGGTTGAAACATGGTAACAATATATACATCGGTCTCTTTGAATTCAGGCAGGGAACAGAAGAATAAAATCGCCCTTTAAATAGTCTTTAAAATAAGCTTCATGCCTTAAAATGATCAGTCTTTTAAGTTAGTTGGCAGCCAGCACTTTCTCTTCACTGTCCAAAGTGAGAACAAAAGGCAGAATGACTGTTAGAACCATTGGCCTCAGCAGTCAGCCAGAGACAGCAGCCAATCAGAACCCTGGCCCTGGCACACTCAGCCATGACACATCTCTCTCCAGTTAACCCACCATATCATGGTGTCCTTTTTCAAATCCTAACGAGCTGCACTTTATAATTTAAGCAATTTGGTACCGCTTTAACTGTCATGGCTCAATGCTATGGAATCCTGGGAGCTGTAATTTGGTGAGGCACCAGCATTCCTTGGGAGAGATGGTTAAAGACCTTGTAAAGCTACAACTCCCATGTTTCCTTAGCACTGAACCATGGCAGTTCAGGTGGTGTTGAACAGCATTAATTCGACAGTGTAGATACCCCTTAGTATCTTGTTCTCTTCTGAAACAGAACCATAATAATTCCTTTAGTAAGAATGAATATAATGGGATGTTGTTAGAAAGGTAGACTTTAGGGAAAAAATAGTGGGTTGGGGAGAAGAGTTAGAGGACATTTCTACTTTAGGTTATGTTTGAAGAAATCACAGAAATTCAAATTAAAACATCCAATGGTTTAGATGGCTTTTCTGCAGTTAATTGAGACTAAGATGTTCAGTTTGAATACTTCAGTAGCTATTTCTCAAAGTATATTAAAATTCAAAATGCAAAAGCCATCTTTTTCTCCTTTTGTTTGCTTCGAAAAGAGCAATTTCTTAATTTTTCCTGTCTTTGGTAGTCTGCTGTTTGGAAAGAGCTGTTGCTGGCTACTATTGGGGAACAGTTTGCTGACCGCTGTGCCGGAGGTAAGAATTAGTTTTATTTATTTGTTTGCTTTTAAAGTATTTCTTGCTCAAATGTAAATCTCTATCTATCTATCCAGAATAAAAGTGAAAATACATATGTATGTATGTGGCTGAGGTGCCCACTTTCACAGACAAGCTCCCGCTTCCACAAACAGCTTTAACCTACAGTGCTTAGGAACTGCCAAAAGCCCTCCCTCTAATGACATTTCAGGTTATAGCAAGCGTCATGAACATGTAGCCCAAACCATGCCAATATCCTCCCCAAACACTACACTGCCCACCACCCAAGGAATACTTTCATTTGAGGACAATTTCATCCTAGATTTTACGTGTTTCCTCCACCACAGGCATCCCAGTGTTTCTTCCTCTCTCCACTGGTGTGGAATTTGAATGATCCCGCCCACTGCCTCTCAGTTAACCCTTTCCTACTCTTTTCAACTCTGTTTGCACAACAAACAGAGCAGAACTAATCAACAACTAAACATACTGGAGGAGTTTGGGGGATTTATTTATTTATTTATTTATTTTGTAGAAAGGCATTGCATAAATTAGTAAAAAAAACGGATAAAAATAAGGAGCATAAGTGGCCAAAAATGGGTAATAGCAACCTCATTGTCTGTAGCCTCAAACAACTCTTCCTCTGTACACGAGGCAGGACATTACAGACAAGCATTTAGATGCAGAGTTGTCTGTTCTGCTCCACAGTCACACAAGGTGGAGGATTCCTTTAGGTAGTTTGGGAGATTGACTCCACATGATGGAAGTTGTAGTTCACCCTACATCTTGTCAGAGCACTGTGACCCCCAGTGACAATGGACCTAGACCAGATTTGGCACACAGAACCCTCCGCCCCATGATCTAAGAAAAAATACTGGAGAGATTTGGGGGGAATTTACCTTGATTTATAGCCATTGTAGGTACTGGGATTTATAGTTCACCTGCAGTTAAAGAGCACGCTGGACCCCACCAACAATGGCCCTGTACCTAACTTGGCACACAGAACCAACTGAAAATATGGGAGGGACTTTTTAAGGACTTTTTTAGGCAAATAGTGGTGGTGCTTCACCAAAATAGAAATAATAATAATAATAATAATAATAATAATAATAATTTTTAAACGTGATATGATAATATAATAATAATATAATAATTTGTAATTATATATATAAATGTAATGTTCGTTTGTGGGATTAACTGAACTCAAAAACCACTGGACGAATTGACACCAAATTTGGACACAAGACACCTAACAACCCAATGTATGTCATTTGGGAGTTGTAGTTGCTGAGATTTATAGTTCACCTACAAGCAAAGAGCATTCTGAACTCCACCAATGATGGAATTGAATAAATCTTGGCACACAGAACTCCCTTGACAAACAGAGAATACTGGAAGAGTTTGGTGGGCACTGACCTTGAGTTTTGGAGTTGTAGTTCACCTAAATCCAGAGAGCACTGTGGATTCAAACAATGATGGATCTGGACCAAACTCTACCCGAATACCCAACAAACCCAAATGTGAACACTGGTGGAGTTTGGGGACAATAGAATATTGACATTTGGGAGTTGTAGTTGCTGGGATTTGTAGTTCACCTACAATCACAGAGCATTCTGAACCCCATCAATGATAAAATTGGGCCAAACCTCCCACACAGAACCCCCATGACCACCAGAGTAGGCCACAGCAACGCGTGGCAGGGGACGGCTTATATATATATAATAATAATTTAAAACACGATATGAGGATTTAAAGATTGAACTGCAAAGACTCTGCCACAAGCCAGTCAAGGTGGTCCCAGTGGTGATCGGCACACTGGGTGCAGTGCCTAAAGACCTTGGCATGCACTTAAACACAATTTGCACTGACAAAATTACCATCTGCCAACTGCAGAAGGCCACCTTACTGGGATCTGCATGTATTATTCGCCGATACATCACATAGTCCTAGACACTTGGGAAGTGTCCAATGTGTGATCCAATACAACATCCAGCAGAGTAATCTCGTTTGCTGTGGACTCATCTTGTTGTGTTTCAGATAATATTTTTTAAAAAAATCTTTATTTATATCCTGCTTTTCTCCCTAAATGTGGCTTACAACATTATATAAAAGCCCATACAAAATAATATGCATATGTAAAACAATAGCCTATAAAAACAAGTTTACAATAAGAAATACATAAACATATTTAAAAACATTTGCCTGTTACAATTATTGCAGGCAACTCAACAAGACAGATGGTAAACATTAGCACGACTCAATAAAATACAACTCCTTGATTCCATACATTGATCCATGGCAGCTAAAATGGTGTCAAGCTGAATTCATTCTACACTGTAGATCAGGCATAAGCAAACTCCAGCCCTCCAGGTGTTTTGGACTCCCAACTCCCACATTCCTAACACCTGGTAGGCTGTTAGGAATTGTGGGAGTTGAAGTCCAAAACACATGGAGAGCCGAAGTTTGCCCATGCCTGCTGTAGATCACCCAAACCCTATTTGCCATACTGACTTTCTCTGAATTTGATAGGCACAGTGTGGAGGTATAGCTACAACAAACCTGTGCAAAGGAAAAAAGAGGAAAAATGACCTCTCGGAGATTGGATTTTGCTCCATTGTTGGTCAATGCAGGGGAACAGTTCAATATCCACCTGGTGCTAAAAGGGAACATGTCTCCTTAGCCAAGTCAAAACAAATAAAGAATGAGAGAGTACTCTCAGTTTGGAAAACAAAAAAGAAATGCTTTCCTCATGCCTGTTTGCAAACTGTATTAAGAATTGCATCATAGTGTGGCGCTGGCAATAAAACTTGTCTGAACGCCCATTGCTCTTCCTTCCACTCTTTGTCGAACCCTGCAGCACTGGAGTACCTTCTCTCATACCTCTATATTTCATACTTGCCACAAACAAGCCTACAGCCATACAGTTTCAATTGAGTAATAATCTCTGAGTTCTCTAGCAATTAACACCACTGCTAAAGTAGATATGTATCTCACAGTGGCTAATTGGTTTACAGTAGCAGAAGTGAATTATAATTTGTGATAGAACTGAGTTTAAAAAGACATACACTTTCCATTTCAACATGCCGTGTAACCAAGTTTTCTTGACTTGTTTAATGTGTTCTTCTTTAGATTGGAGAGAGGTGATTAAGAGCCTCAAGTACATTCTAATGACTTGATGATGATGATGATGATGCTCCTTCTTCACAGGTGACGAAGTAATAGGGGTTAGTGTCAGTGTTCGGGACCGGGAAGATGTCGTCCAAGTCTGGAATGTCAATGCGTCACTAGCGAGTGAAGCGACAGTTTTAGAAAAGATCTATGAACTTCTGCCACACATGTCTTTTAAAGCAGTTTTTTACAAACGTAAGTGCTGCTTCGCACGCTGTATAAATAGAACCCAAGATCTGTACAACTTCCATCACCAAAATATACTTCATACTTTATTTATTTTGTGTCAAAAGCATTGCACAGATAAAAAAGTATATAAAACTGATAAAATAGAGGGAGCACAAGGGGCCAAACAACTCCAGACCAAAAACAGGCAACAGCTACTGCATTGTCTGTAGCTTTAAGCAATTCTTGCTCTGTGCATGAGGCAGGGCATTGTGGGCAAGCATACAAATGCAGAGTTGTTTGTTCTGCTCCACAGTTGCACAAGGTAGAGGGTTCTTTTAGTTAGTGCCATTTTGCCAGGTTGCCTTTTGATCTGCCCACTCCACTTCTGAGTCTGTTCAGGGACTTCCAAGTTGCCCATTCTTGGTTTGCCCCTGTCGGAAGACCCTCGTGGGGGGCCATCCAGTTGGGATTTCCTGGTTTAGATACCCAGAGGGATACTCTTGCTGTTGCTGGGAGAACTTCATACTTATGTGGTGTCTTGTCTTTTTCAGCTCACAAAGAACACCATGCCTTCGAAGGTGGACGTGGGCGACATTAACAGGACTGAACTCATAAATTGTAATTTTTTTTCCTTTTTTCGAGATCATTGTAATGGGAAGACGGACAGAAGCACCACAATCCCCGTTTCATTTTAGATTCTTTTCTATTCCTCTTGAGCCACTGTTTTACCCAAAATCAAGGAGAATTGCGCCTCTGTTTCTGATGCTGAGGTTTATTTTGACTTCTCAATGCAAAAAAAGTCTCTCCTATTTAATTATTGCTTTCCTTTGATGGTTGAGGATTTTGTGGTTAAGTATTTTGCTGTATGTAGTTTTTAAGGCCAATGTGCACAGGCATGATATATTCTCCATTTTCCAAGATTCGCTGCACCTCAGGAGAGAATGGCTTTGTTGAACCATGGTTTCTATTCTGCTTCGTATTGTTTGCTTTGAGACATTCCTGTCGAGCAAAGATCCTACTCACTTCGAAATTTGCACTGTTGTAATATGCATTAATGTGCTCCATGGGAATGAATGGAGCTTGCACAGCAGCGGGGCTGACCAGATGGCTTTCAGTCATGCCCAACTTATGCACTGATAATGCCCCTACTGTAAGTTAAAATCACTGGGCAGAGCCTGTGAACCCCGAATTTATTTCTGTTTTAACTTATTCCCAAGACAGAAACACTTCAACAGGCATTGAGTTGGTATACACTTGATGAGAGCCCACAATTTAGTGGAGTCAGGGTGGATGTTACCATCAGGCAGACTGCAAACCAAACTAGGCTGTGCACAAATACCGTATTCATTCTCTTCTAAGATGCCATCAGTTGAAAGATGCACACTCATTTCATTTCATTTCATTCTTTATTTATATACCGTATATACTCGACTATAAGCTGAGTTTTTCAACTCTTTTTTAGGACTGAAAAAGCCCCCCCCCCCCACCTCGGCTTATTTAAACTCAAGTGAGGGTCCTGGTCGGCTTGTATTCAGATCGGCTTATACTCAACTATAGGTAATCAGAGTTGGACAGTCTTATCTTAAATTACAGTTTTAATATTCAAAATGTTAAATATTCAAAAGCATTTAACCTACTGATGCCTCGGTTAATGTAATCTTATTGGTATCTTGAAGGAGCTGGAGGTGGCAACGGCCGACAGGGAGCACTGGTGTGGGGTCATGCATGAGGTCACAAAGAGTCGGTAGCGATTGAACAAATTTTTATTTTTGAAATTAACCAGTAGCTGCTGCATTTCCCACCCTCGGCTTATACTCGAGTCAATAAGTTTTCCTAGTTTTTTGTGGTAAAATTAGGTGCCTCGGCTTATATTTGGGTCGGCTTATACTCGAGTATATACGTTATACAAGAACCACCCACGATTCCAAGATGCACCCCATTTTTAGAGCTGTCTGTAGTGAGGGAAGTGTGTCATAGAATTGAAGAAATACGGTAAAATGCTGTTAGTGATCCATTGTGATTTCTGTTGTCATAGCAGTACTTGACCTGTTGCAATCAAAGCTCAGGGAAGTTATTTTTGGACTATGGAAATGTAGCCTGAAAAGTCACTTTTTTGGTTCTCTGGCCACAATTGTGCAAAGGAAGCTCAAGAAAGTTATTTTTAAACTATGAAAAGTAACTTTTTTTCTTAGCTCTGGCCTTACTTGTGCTAAAGAAGGTCAAAAAAGTTATTTTTGAACTATGGAACTGTAGGGTTGATGTGAGTTTTCCGGCTTGTATGGCCATGTTCCAGAAGCATCCTCTCCTGATGTTCCACCCACATCTATGGCAAGCATCCTCAGAGGTTGTGAGGTCTGTTGGAAACTAAGCAAGTAGGGTTTATATATCTGTGGAATGTTCAGAGAAAGAACTCTTGTCTGTTTGAGGCAGATGTGAATGTTGCAAATTGCCACCTTGATTAGCATTGAATGGCCTTGTAGCTTCAAAGCCTGGCTGATCCTGCCTGGGGATTCCTTTGTTGAGAGGTGTTAGCCCACCCTGGTTGATTCTTGCCTGGAATTCCCCTGTTTTTTGAGTGTTGCTCTTTATTTACTGTCCTGATTTTAGAGTTTTTTAATACTCAAGCAGACAAGAGTTCTTTCTCCTACCCTGGACTTTCCACAGATATATGAACCTCACTTGCTTGGTTTCTAACAGATCCCTCAACCTCTGAGGATGCTTGCCATAGATGTGGTCGGAACATCAGGAGAGAATGCTTCTGGAACATGATCGTACAGCCCGGAAAACACACAGCAATCTAGTTCCGGCCATGAAAGCCTTTGGCAACACATATGGAACTGTAACCTGAAAAGTAATTTTTTTCTGAGCTCTGGCCACAGTTGCACGAAGGACATTTAATAAGTTATTTTAGGTAGGAATTGTAGCCTCAAAAGTCACTTTGCTGAGCTCTGGCTATAGTTGTGGTCATTATATTGTGAAAGTTACCATCAAATATGGAGCAGTAATTTTGAATTTTTTTCTGACTACCTTAGAAATCTTTTTAAGAGAAATGAATGATATTTCAGTAGGAAACCACAGACTCTCTATTTTGGAAACAGCTAATTTTGATTTTGAAAAAAGTCGTCTTCTGAAATTTCAAAAAACCGAATCTTTCGGAATCTCTGCTGTGGGTCTCCCTTATAATAGGAACCTTCACATGCATACTTTTAGCACACTTGTTATAAAACAGATCTTTCCTATCCACCAACTCACTCTGATCATATCCCATTGAAAACCAGTAATTTTATTGTAAAATGCAGTACAACTGTGTGTAGTTATTACAAGCTATCATGGCGCCTTAAGTACAATGTAGAGAGAAGTCCATTACACTTTGAAGCATGAATGTGAAAATGTTCAGCATTTAGTTGATGTCGTTTTCCTCTCCATACTGATTTATTGGAGGTTTTGGTATATTTTTATTACAGTACCAAAGATTTATTTAGTTCCTCACAAGGGGATGCCAGTGGGGTAGAGAAATAGTGCATCTATCTAGGCTGAATTGCTGGATTAGTATTAGTATTTTTAAAATTGTTCTGACTGCACTGATATTGACCCGTTTTAATTTCACAAGAGGTGCCCATTGGAATTCAGCGCATTTCTAAATAAATCAATTTTCCCCTTTTTAATTTTTGTACTAGTTCATCTGTATTTATGAATTAAACTTGTGCATTTAACGAGCATTATTAAAAAGTTTTATAAACTCATATTTTTGGGCTCATTCTTTTGTGAAGCCGGGCTGTTCTCAGAAAGCCTAATCACGTCTGATCATATAGCAATAAACATTTATTTGTTTATTTATTTATTTATTTACAGCATTTATGTTCCACTCCTCTCACCCAGAAGGGGACTCAGGGCGGATCACAGAACATATACACAGTGAACATTCAGTGCTGATAGACAGACAGGATAGACAACAGATAGAGGTATATGTGTCGTCTTTTTTCCCAGCTTCAGCGTCCTGGAGGTTGTGCTCGATTCTGTCCACAAGGGGGTGCTGTCGCTCCATCCTCTACAACGAGGAGCCTTTCTTTGATTGCTGGCATTTTCTGGTATTTCCTTTTTATGCTGCTGTGAAATACCTCCCCTTTTAAGCAGTGCCTAATGTCTCTACTCACACCTCACAGCTGTCTTCGAACTGCTCCGTTGAGTAGTGAGCTGGGCTGAAGGTCGGGTGCTCACCCTGATCTGGGCTTCGAACTGCCAACCTTTCAATTGGTGTGATCTATTGCTGCTGGTGATTAACCAGCTGTGCTAAAGCCCGGCCTTTCTATATAGTGCTTTCAAAATTTTATTATTATTGTTTATGTGGTTGTTGCATTTGTCTTCCAGTACAAGAGTCAAAGCAGCTTAATAACCAAAGTATGGGTTGTTGTGAGTTTTCCGGGCTGTATGGCCATGTTCCAGAAGCATTTACACCCACATCTATAGCAGGCATCCTCAGAGGTTGTGAGGTCTGTTGGAAACTAGGCAAGTTACGTTTATATATCTGCGGAATGTCCAGGGTGGGAGAAATAACACTTGTCTGTTTGTGGTGAATCTGAATATTGCAACTGGCCACCTTGATTAGCATTTAATAGCCTTGTAGCTTCAAACCCTCGTTGGTTGCTCTCTGGGGGATCCTTTGTTGGGAGGTATTAGCTAGCCCTGATTGTTTCATGTCTGGAAGAGATATCTTGCCCAATTTTTCTCCATCAGCCCAGGTGAAATCAATACAAGAAGGACACAAATTCAGTAGTGCCTAATTTTGCCAGGAACTGGCACTCAGGCATGCAACAATTTCTTCAGAATGCACTCGCCCCTCCATATCCACTGAATCTTCATCCATGGATTCAGTGATCCACAGCTTTAAAATAAATCCAATAAATAAACTTTGGGTTTTTAAATTTTTCGGGCTGTATGTCCATGTTCCAGAAACATGGCTGTACAGCCCAAAAAACTTACAACAACCCAATAATTCTGGCCATGAATGCGTTCAACAATACAAAGAAACCTTGATTTGTTGTTTTATATTAGGAACACCATTTTACTCTGCCATTATATATAATGGGACTCAAGCAGCCACTAATTTAGATATCAGTGGGGAGGTGGAGATGATGATGACCATGACGTTTTCTTTTAGGCACAACTCAAGATGGTGAACTTGATCTATGAGGCTCCAGGGAGCAGTGGATCAAGATGTCGGAAGGACCATGCACTCTCATAAGAACATGCCTGGTTTTTTAAACTTCATCAGTGGAGCAGTTTCATGCTTCCTCCCTCTTTGGAGGCAATATCCTTGTTAGAGAATACCTTCTACTCATGAGCACGCAACAAGTACCACCTCATTTGCCTTGTAAGCGGTGGATGAAAATTATGCTCCCCGGGCCGTTAATCAGATGGCTTATGTATGTTTTGACACTTTGGGGCCTCTGTGCAACGGTTTCTATTTTTGGCTCGTGGGTATGGGTGGGTAAATTTTTCGTTAACTTCACTGAAGACCCAGAAAGAATCCTGTTAGGAACTTGCTTTCCCTGCAACACTTTGTGACGCAGACATTCATGGAGTCTCTTGTGGAAAAAAATAACAGAGGACATGAAAACTACACCGTTTTTGGGCATTGTGCACATCCCTATTAAATACCTGTCATTTCTCATGTTTAAAAGTTATCAGGCACTGCAGGAACATTTTTAGAATACTTAGTTTATAGCCAGTTCATAGAATCCTAGAATAATAGAGTTGGAAGAGAGACCACATGGGCCATCTAGTCCAAGCCTCTGCCACACAGGAAAAGCATAATCAAATTATCCCTGACAGATGGCCATCCAGTCTCTGTTTAAAAGTTTCAAAGGAAGGAGCTTCCATTACACTCTGAGGCAGAGAGTTGTCTCCTGTAATTTGAACTCATTACTCGTCCTAGTTTCCAGAGCAGCAGAAAACAAGCCTGCTTCCTCTTCACATATTTATACATGGCTATCAACCTTCTCAACCTTCTCTTATACAGGCTAAACATACCCAATTCTTTAAGATGCTCCTCATAGGTCATGGTCATTTTAGTCGTCTTCCTCTGGACACCTTCCAGCTTGTCAATATCTCTTTTGAACTGTGGTCCACAGAATTGGACACAGTATTCCAGGTGAGATCTAACCAAAGCAGAATACAAAGGCACCATGACTTCCCATGATCTAGACACTAGCCTGAGCTCTGCGAGTGCAGCATTCTTCCGAATGAAACAAAGAGTGTTTGAGAACTGGGACATCCGTAGGGATACCAAGGTGCTTGTTTATAAAGCCACTGTCCTCCCAACCCTGCCATATGCCTGCGAAACATGGACTGTCTACAGACATCATCTACAACTTCTGGAATGATTCCATGAGCTCTGCCTCCGAAAAATCCTGCAAATCTCTTGGGAAGACAGGTGGACAAATGTCAGCATGCTGGAAGAAGCAAAGTCCACCAGCACTGAAGCGATGGTCCTTTGCCATCAACTCCACTGGACTGGCCATGTTGTCCGAATGCTCGATCACCATCTCCCAAAGCAGTTACTATACTCCAAACTCAAGAACAGAAAACTGAATGTTGGTGAACAGGAAAAGTGATTTAAAGATGGATTTAACGCCAACTTCAAAAACCATGGTATAGACACCAAGAACTTGGAAGCACTGGCCCTTGAATGCTCTAACTGGAGGTCAGTTGTGACCAGCAGTGCTGCAGAATTTGAAGAGGCACGAATGGAGGGTGAAAGTGAGAAATCTACCAAGAGGAAGGAACATCAAGCCAACCCTGACTGGGACCGCCTTCCATCTGGAAACCGATGTCCTCACTGCGGGAGAACATGCAGATCAAGAATAGGGCTCCACAGTCACCTTTGCACCCACTGCCAAGACACTACATCATCCTCGCGCTATGAGGGATCACCTAAGTAAGTAAATAAATTTGATGCAGCACAAAATCCCATTGGCTTTTTTAGCTGCTACATCACACTGTTGGCTCATGTTCATCTTGTTATCCACAAAGACTCCAAGATCTTTCTCACATGGACTGTTGTCGAGCCAGGCATCACCCATTCTGTATCTTTGCATTTCCTTTTTTTCTGCTTAAATGTAGTATCTTACATCTGTCCGTGCTGAAAATAATTTCATCGGTTTTGGCCCAGCTCTCTAATCTGTTAAGGTCATTTTGAATTCTGATCCTGTCTGGAGTATTAGCTATCCCTTCTAATTTGATGTCATCTGCAAACTTGATAAGGATGCCCTTTAAACCTTTATCGCAGTCATTAATAAGGATGTTGAACACAACTGGGCACAGGACCAAACCCTGTGGTACTCCACTAGTCACTTCTTTTCAGGATGAAGAGGAACCCTTTGGGTTCGGTCGCTTAACCAATCCCTGTATTTACCCAGACATATGTTTAACTCAATGAGGCCTACTTCACTTCTCAATAAATATGCTTAGGACTGTGCCATTCATGTGCTCGGCAATTCCACCTCTAGTCTTGTGCCAGCAGGAGTTGCTCCCTACATGGCTCTCATGCCCACTCTGCTTTATGCCAGCTGCTGTTCTTGCCATGGACACAAAAAGAGCTTTGTCTCTGTTAGAACTGCTTCCTAAAGAGATGGGCCTTTTTTCCCCAGCAGCACAAAGGATTGCATAGCTCCTCAGAGAGCAGCATTACAATTAACACAATAGGTTTTAATTGTAAATTCCTCTTAATAAGGATAAAAGACTAACCACTGGGGCATCCTAATTAAAGAGACTACTACAGTCGTAATTACACAGAAGTCTGCTACACACAGTTCATCTACAGAAATAGTTGAAGATGTCAGAATTCGGAGGTGCAGAAAGGACCACTTTTATCATAACTTCAGGCTCTCTTATCTTTTATCTCTCCCACTGAAATATCTGTTTCTCTTCTTTTGTTTTTCTTTCTGAAATGCCACATATCTTCTTAGCACATTTATTTATCTGTCTATCTACCTATCTATTTATGGAAACCTGAAACATTAACATTTTCCTTCCCACTCATGACCAATACTGAATATGATACTATTGAAATAACTCTCTTTTCTCAATGTATTGTCGAAGGCTTTCATGGCTGGAATCAATGGGTTGCTGTGAGATTTCCGAGCTCAAGCAGACAAGAATTCTTTCTCCCAACCTGGATATTCCAGAGGTATCTAAACTAGGCTTAATTGTTAAAAAAATGGTCCAAAACTCATTTGTGGTGGTTTGATTCAGAATTGAATTCCCAATTTTTCCCAACATTTTTTGGAATTTTTTGAAATTTCTAAAATTTCCAGAATTTCCGAATTGCTTCGTTAATTGTGCAATATGCGAAAAACAGCATAGGCATGAAAGTATGGGATTTCTAGTGTCTTCTTAGGCAACTCACAGCAAACAAAGAAAACAAGAAATAGCCCTGAGAGCTTTATGTGCCTTTTGAGCAGATTTCACCAGTTAGGGAAGTATAGGCATGAAAGTATGGGATTTCTAGTGTCTTCTTAGGCAACTCACAGCAAACAAAGAAAAAAGAAACAGCCCTGCACTTTTTGCCTTGGAAGCTAATTTCACTACTTTGGGAAAGAGTTTGTGTTCAAAGAGTGGCTTGAATTGATGGGAGATCTAGTTCTTTTGAGGCAATGTGCAACACAAACTAAAAAGCACTGAAAGACATGACAATAATCTTCCTGCTGGGTAATGCGAACTAGAGACTAGGATTAAAATAGCCAGGGATGGCTACACTCCCCAAGTTTGTCCTACAGGGTAGAATCCAGACTGTCCATCATGGCCAAAACTGGTTCAGCCTCATTGGAGTGTCATGTTACCTTTACTGTCCCTATTTTACCTTTGCTGCCAGACAGCCACAGAACCCAGAGACAATTCCTGGCTGTCCTTGGCTACCCAGGAACTCTTTGGAGCTCCTTGGCCATCAGGCTCAGGAAAAGGAATGTGGGATGCAGGTCCCATTTATCCTCCTTTTCCTCCACTGCTAAGCACAGGGAAAGTGGGATAGCAGTACTGGCATGTGTGGACAACAGAGCAGTTCAGTTTAGAGCTTGTGATAGTCACACTCTTCCCAACTTCGCTTAATGCAGAGTAAAACCAGCTAAGGAGCAGAAGTTACAGGGGCATGATTTGGATATCCAGGTTCTGCTTCTGGGCATAAGGTCAATATAAATATCCCCCAGATATAAGGAAGCACATAAAACTATGCTTTACAAAGTGGGATTGGTTGTCCACGTAGTCCAGCAGTTCACAACCTGTGGTTTTGGGACCCCTGGGGGTGTTGTGAGGGGGTTTCAGAGGGGTTGCCAAAGACCATCAGAAAACATATATTTCTGATGGTCTTGGGAACCCCTTTGACAGAGAAGGCTGTCCTTCTCTTCTTTTTTAGAAACAGACCACGAATCCTCCCACCAAAAGCCCTCCTCCGCTGTGATTGGCCAACCTCTCACCCAAGGGGAGGGTTATTTTGGAGACTCCAAGAGGGGAGGGGAGAGCAGGCGTGCTTGGCCCATGCCAGCATTATGCACATGTGCAGGTGAGGGAGAGCATGTGAAGTTGGAGAGAGGCTCGCACCAGCAAATCCCTTCAAGGCATGGGGGTTCAGTGTGGGCTGTTTGGCCCAATTCCATCATTAGTGGCGTTCAGAATGCTCTTTGATTGTAGGTGAACTATAAATCCCAGCAATTAGAACTCCCAAATGACCAAATCAATCCCTCCTCCATATTGGATATTTGTGCCAAATTTGGTCTAGTGAATGAAAATACATCCCACATATCAGATATTTACATTAGGATTCATAACAGTAGCAAAATTACAATTATGAAGGAGCAACAAAAATAATTTTATGGTTGTGGTTCACCACCACATGAGGAACACATGAGGGTCACAGCATTGGGAAGGTTGAGAAACACTGATCTAGTCCATCCTATTCTCCCTTGAGTGATAGCAGTACTCTCAGGATCTCAAGGGGAGACAAAATATGGGGAAGATGGTGTTGAGATACCACTCCCGGAGCCGTCCTTCCAGCCAGTTTAAGAAATGGTTGAGGGATTCCAAGAGCTGCAGCCTCCAAAAGTAAAATTGCTAAGGTCCTAATAGGTCTTTTCCTTTCCCTGCTGAATTTCATAAAATGAGATGTAAAGGATGGACATTGGAAGAAAGGATGCCTTGTACTTCAATTAGTGTGACCATATTGTCTGAGTATAGAAGCAAAGGGTTTTACAGAGTGTTTTATTTAACCTTGTAGGGTGCTAAATGTAATCAGTGCACTGTATTCCGGTTTTGGAGTAGTCATTCACTTGCACTTAATCCAACTCTTGTCACGTAACCATATTGGCACACTGCATGTTTTAAAACAATTTTGGGTAATATGAAGTTTTTGACAGAATTTCATTCTTCATTAACTTGTCAAATTAGGAAATTAAGAGACCTGTCAGAGTAAAGTGTAGTTAAGATTGACGATGACTTTTAGATCAAAATTTTGGATATCCCTTGCCTCTTTCTGATGATTTCCCTCATCTCCTCCTTTCCTCCCCCAGCATCCTAGGAGAAATGTTTCCAAGATGAACTGTTTCACACTCAAAACTGTTCATTATACTTTTTTTTGTTAAAGATTAAGAAAGACTCAATTTGACATTTAGGTACATGTGAAAATGTTTATACAAGTAATTCAGGATGTCAGTTCTTGTGTCTCTTCCTCACCTTCGGAGGTGTTTGCATTGTGACACATCTGCTCCTCCTCTTGTTTGCCTCTTCATAGCTCTTCAAGTTGATCCCCTGGCAGGAGGAGGAACACATGCAAGCAGTTCTCCTCTGTACGTCTTACATTTGGCACAAACGGTGCCTTGACAGAGCCCTTGGGGAGCTTGTTGCTCCTTTGTACCCACCGTATACAGAGACAACATTTAATTAATTGGCACTGATAGAAACGTGTGATCTCTTTGGAGCTTTCCTTTGAAGGGTATGTAAGACATGGGATTCAGGCAATGACTGAAGAAGAACTCGGGAGCTGAAACGGATACAGGCCCTTGATCTACTGTCTCTCAAATAGCAGGTTCCTCTCTTCTGATTATTTTCCCCTCCCGGGCTGCTTCTGTCTCTTTTAACCGCTAAATCCTCTTATCCCAGGCAGCAGCGCTTCAGCCCCTGCCTTGCTGCAGTGGGACCCATCATTAGTCCTTGGCATTCAGCGAGTCTTGAGCCAGATGGTTGGGAACAGGCAATATCGGAAGTTGTAGCGCATAATCAGCTGCTGGTACTGGCAGTGAACTTGAAGAACCGGCTTGACTTTCAAGGCAAGAGGTTTTCTGAAAATGCGGAAAACATTTTATTATTTAGAAAGCGAGCGAACGTTTTGATTAAAATGTGATGGTTACTTGCACGTTAGATCATGTGAACTCAAACAGAATACATTAACCAGATCCCTCATTATGTACGAAAAGAAGAAGAAAGTTGTGCTTGTTAAGAATTAAGGGCTCAGCAACATGTTTCATTAAAGATGTTATAATTACAGTTTGGGAAAGCCTAAACTTTGGGGTCAAATTCTTCTCTTTCTTTGAGATGTGGAAAAGAAGAGTAAAAAGGGGTTAGTTTGGGAAAGTTACTTTTTGTACTACAGCTTCCCAGATTTTCCATCAACCATGGCTACAGGTGTAGATTTCAAATGTGAGTAGGCAAATGCATTGAGGAGAAATGAGTCAACAATGTGATGCGGCAGCTAAAAATAGGAATATCGTATCTAGATCCAGGAAAGTGATGCTACCCCTCTATTCTGCCTTGGTCAGACCACACCTGGAATACTGTGTCCAATTCTGGCCACCGCAGTTTAACTGAGATGTTGACAAGCTGGAATGCATCCAGAGGAGGGCAACTAAAATGATCAGGGGTCTGGAGAAGAAGCCCTATGAGGAGCGGCTTAAAGTGCTGGGCATTTTTAACCTAAAGAAGAGAAGGCTGAGAGGAGACATGATGAGGTCTATGGATAAATATGTGAAGGGGAAGTCATGGGGAGGAGGGAGCAAGCTTGTTTTCTGCTGTCCTGGAGACTAGGATGCAGAACAATGGCTTCAAACTACAGGAAAGGAGATTCCACCTGAACTTTAAGAAGAACTTCCTGACTGTGAGAGCTGTTCAGAAGTGGAACTCTCTGCCCCGGACTGTGGTGGAGGCTCCTTCTTTGGAGGCTTTTAAGCAGAGGCTGGATGGCCATCTGTCAGGGGTGGTTTGAATGCAATTTTCATGCTTCTTGGCAGGGGGTTGGACTGAATGGCCCATGAGGTCTCTTCCAACTCTATGATTCTATGAAATCATTCAGTGGCTACTAGTAATGATGACTACATGCAATTATTTTCCAGAGCCAGTGTCCATAGGCTAGAAAAATCTACCTGCAGGTTCTAGGGCAATGTTTTGGCATTCTTTTTATATTAAGATACTTGTGCCTTGCCATCTGAAATTTCCAAACTTCTGATCAGTTTAACATTATTTTTATAACTGACTTCAACCTGCAGCAGATCCTGAGTTTCCGACCTTTCTGTTATAGACCTAGGAATAACACCTGGGAACTGGCATTGGGAGAAGCCTATTGGCTTCCTGCTTGGCTTGTGAGTTAATTGACAAGAGTTGGATTAAGTACAAACAACACCTCAATTGAAATGCAAGGCCCACGAAGACACTGGCAACCACAGCCAGCTTATGCAATGCTGTAAGCAGGATGGCAGTCCATGTTTTGATCTCATTTGTTCTTATAATGTTCAACTGAGAATGAAGGTCAAGCAAGAACATTTTATCTCTGTTGAATTTTCTCAGGATGAAAAAGAAACAAATCTAATAATTAAAGTAGCTAGCTATGGGGAAATTTAGAGTCACAGAGTCATAGGAAGTGACCACATGGGCCATCTAGTCCAACCCCCTGCTATGCAGGAAAAAGCACAATCAAAGAACCCCTGACACATAGTCATCCAGCCTCTGTTTAAAAGCCTCCCAAAAAAAGGATCTTCCACTACACTCCAAGGCAGAGAGTTCCACTGCTGCACAGCTCTTACAGTCAGGAAGTTCTTCCTAATTCAGATGGTATCTCCTTTCCTGTAATTTGAACCCATTGCTCCAAGTCGTAGTCTCCAGGGCAACAGAAAACAAACCACGAAGATGAACAAAATCTGGCTACCAGTATTTAAAAAACTCTAAAATTAAAACAGCAAAACAGCAGAGGGAAAACAACCAGGGACATCTAATCATCTCTCAACAAAAGATTGCTCCAGGCACTACCAGGCTATCAAATGCTAATCAAGGTGGTCAGTTGAAACATTCACATCTGGCTCCAGCAGACAAGAGTCCTTTGTCCCACCCTGGTCTTTCCACAGATATATACACCCATTTTCCTAGTTCCAACAGACCTCACTACATCTGAGGATGCTTACCATAGATGCAGGCGAAACGTCAGGAGAAAATGCCTCTAGAACATGGCTATATAGCCCGAAAAAGCCTACAACAACCCAAACCTGCTCCCTCTTCCTTATCCTCTCACATATTTAAAAATGGCTAGCATGTCTCCTCTCAATCTTCTCTTCTGCAGGCTAAAACATACCCAGCAATATGGCTCCCCCTGGGATATTTTTGGCACTATAACTACGTATAAATGAAATGTTCTAGACAGCTGAGAAAAAAATGTGTGATTAAAATGAACAGAAGCAACAACAAAATAAAACTGTGGGGAAAAAAATTAAAAGTGGAATTGATGGAACCTCAAGGAAGCATCACTGGTGAACTTCAATATCAGCATACTCTGATATTGAACATCAAACCAGTACATCAAAAAGCACCCACCAAGTGATTGTTTTTGTGATGTGGCTGATGCTTAGTACTTCTCAACAGTACAAAACATGCCTGAATCCCCTAAGGATGTTACAAATGTGTGACATTGGCACCCTGGCACCAGCTGCAAGATTTTATTCCAATCCATATGTGAGTTTCATTTTAATTCCAAGACATGATGGTTGTGTATCTTTCTACCCCCACTCCCACATTATGCGCATCACTGAAATGGCAAACATGCACCACAGTGCTGTTAACTCTAAGAAGTTTTTAAAATATCAAGAAAAATTGCCCTTCCAATCAGATGATCATTTTAAGCACCAGAAGTGATTTACAGTTTCTCAAGTCACTCAGGACACAAAGAATCAAAGAGTCCATCAAAACAAAATATGTATAAAAGAATGAATTAGGAACTGCCATTTATAATTTTGAAAGTTTTGTTAGAGTTCTGAAATTTTCACCACCAGAACTTTAGCAACACTGTAGAAGCAAAGCACTAGCGCCCCCTAGTTTTTACCACCAGAACTTTAGTTTTGTAAGTACTTTAGAACCATTTAAAACCATGGATTGCCCATGCCTAAGCTCTAGTGGGGTTCCAAGAAATTGCAACAAAAAGCTCCTGAAAAAAATGAACTGAGGGGACACGGAGGCAACAACAGCCAGCAAATCTAAAAGACTGATACTACACTTCCACATGCTTTATAGACCAAACAGACATTGTCCAAGGTCTGTTTCCATACTCTGCTCTGTTATGCTTCAGTAGGGCCTTTTGTACACAGCTTGCTTTTTTTTTTCTTTTTTTTTTTTTTTGCTGAAGTTGGGTACTTTAGCAAAAGTCTGAAAATACCTCATGAAGAAGTACCTCTAGGAAGGAGTGCATGTATCTGTGCAACCTGAAGTTTTGGGCATCTCAGGTATAGCTTCTATTTGCTTGCAACAACTACACAGGCAGAAGGAAAGCTAGGGATTCAGGACTGATAAAAATATGCTAATCCTCCAAGAATGATAGTTAAGAGCAGAAAATGCTCTTACGTCTCTCAAGTGAGCACTGATCTGTATTCTTGTCAAATGACACTATAGCCCCTCCTAAGCTGTTCTGCCACAGACAAGGCAGTCAGTGGTATTTCATGGTTTACTGATGCCTAATTTCCTCTATCAACCCCTCCGAACTGTCTGCTTTCAGTATCAGTGTCTATGACATGTTATCTTTGATGGAGAGGGCCAGGAGAAATGGTTTCCGCTAGAGCTGCTGTCAATAAAACTCCATAAATCAGCGAGCCAAGGCAGGCTGAAGGCAAAGACCAATACATGAACCATCCATCATACTTCAAGCAGCATAGACCCTGCTTCAACAAAAGTCTATGAAGGAAAACTAGGATTTGATTGTAATTTAGGATGGAGTGATGGGTTTATAGCATCATGATTTTCTATAATAAGCCTATCAGTTTCTTTAGCTATCATTCATGGCAGTCCTGTGCTTTTGACTCAAGTGCTGGACTTGTGCATTAGACCTCATTCTGTTACCTAGATTGACGATTAATATGCATAACAAGAAAAGGATTCTAATTTAAGCCCTGGCTGTGGTTGCCAGTGTCTTCATGGGCCTTGCATTGCAATTGAGGCATTGCTCTAATTTAATGTAACTTGTTGTTGTTTATTCGTTCAGTCACTTCCAACTCTTCGTGACTCCTGGACCAGCCCACGCCAAAGCTCCCTGTCGGCCATCACCACCCCCAGCTCCTTCAAGGTCAATCCAGTCACTTCAAGGATGCCATCCATCCATCTTGTCCTTGGTCGGCCCCTCTTCCTTTTTCCTTCCATTTTTCCCAGCATCATTGTCTTCTTTAAGCTTTCCTGTCTTCTCATGATGTGGCCAAAGTTCTTCACCTTTGCCTCTAATATCCTTCCCTCCAATGAGCAGTCAGGCTTTATTTCCTAAAGTATGGACTGGCTGGATCTTCTCACAGTCCATGGCATTCTCAGAATTTTCCTCCAGCATCACAGTTCAAAAGCATGTATCTTCCTTCGCTCAGCCAACCTTATGGTCCAGGTCTCATATCCATAGGTTACTATGGGGAATACCATTGCTTTAACTATGCAGACCTTCGTTGCCAGTGTGATGTCTCTACTCTTCACTATTTAATCGAGATTGGACATTGCTCTCCTCCCAAGAAGTAAACGTCTTCTGATTTCCTGGCTGCAGTCTGCGTTTGCAGTAATCTTCGCACCTAGAAATACAAAGTCTGCCATGGCATCCATGTTTTCTTCCTCTGTGTTGTTGTAGGTTTTTTCAGGCTATATGGCCATGTTCTAGAGGCATTCTCTCCTGACGTTTTGCCTGCATCTATGGCAAGCATCCTCAGACCTCACAACCTCTGAGGATGCTTGCCATAGATGCAGGCAAAACGTCAGGAGAGAATGCCTCTAGAACATAGCCATATAGCCTGAAAAAACCTACAACAACCCACTGATTCCATCCATGAAAGCCTTCGACAAT